AATACACGCTTAAGTTTTCACGCCTTACCGCCACAGTAATGCTTCTTCTTCTCCTCACCATCAGCTGAAAGGGTTAAATTCCTCAAAGTGCTAATGCGGTACTTAGATACTATCAAATAAAAGCATTTGCAAGAATCAGAACGTATACGAGCGGCTCCATAGCAGCACGATTCGACGATTTACATCATCGAAACCAACGATGCTGTTCAACTGACACACTGGATGTACTTATACAATTTCTCATACCAGAACAGCCCAATATGCTGTCGTTTCTATGTCTATGATGTTGACTCACTTTTCGTTTGAATGCTCGATATGACTTGTACAGGAAGCTCAGAAACTCGGACAGAAATTTTCCAATGTCCGCGATAGTGACGAGCAGCAAAGGAATTCCAAACAGTGCAAAAATAATGCATGCTACACGCCCGGACGTGGTCGTTGGCACCAAATTTCCATAACCTGCAAGGTAGAAAGTCCTAAAAACATTTTTTCATCTTGGAAACACTTTTTTTTTATCCTATACTGCTCGTCAGCTCAATTTCGCCTTGCTGATCTCAGCACTTCGGCACTCGATTCATTCCCTCGCTTGCCTCCTCAACAAAGGCATTTGAACATTTAGCGTATTGTTTCGACTGCTGCTTGACGATTTTGCCTTCTTCATCATGACATGCTATGATTGCCGGGTAAATTTTGCAACCTCGAAGGAATCCGAGCTGAACCACCTTTGATGGCTGGGCTGATGATTGATTGCGAGAGAGTGTTGTGGTAGGGGTTCGAACCAGCACCCTGTTCATGATAGTTTACATCACTAACATTTGGCCACTGCCCTTTTCCCCCTTCTCGTTTCCATTTGGAAACACTAGCAATAAAAATATTTTTTCAGCTTAGCAGCCTTTTAAAGAGGTCAGCACCCCAATCATGTTCACTTTTCTGAACACTCAAACGAAACAAATCTAAATCATCATCACATCAGTATACCAAGCAATGTAGAATCATCCCTACCGATTGTTGTTATGACAGTGGTGGCGAAGAAAATGCTGTTAGGATATGTCCACAGTAGACCTTCCCCTGTCGTTTTGTTGATGAGGTGATTTTCATTGATAAATTGATTTCTATATGAGATAAATATGTTCTTCACCAGCTGTTCAAAGTATTCCTGATTAATGGAATTGAAGGCGTCGCGTGAAATACGATTGTCGTCGTCCTGCAAATAAGCGAGTGACGAGAAAGCAAAAACATCGCGTGCTCTTCTTTAACTTCGTTCATAGTATGAAAACTACGATGTATGAGACAAAATCTCAAAGAAAATAGAAGATTAAAAGTGACGAAACAAAAAGAGTACAAAATAAGCTCACATGTCCTAAAAATATACCTGTGTAATATTCCATATATGGTCCTGGAAGTCATCTCGTAATCCGAAGATTGTCCGCAGCTCGTAGTCTCGCTGCTGTAAAAGAATACACTTTATCTATTACTTCTTTAGATTTGAAGTGAGAAAAGTTTAGTTGAGAAAAATATATTCAAGTTTTAGACGCGTCCTGACAACATATTTTAAGCCTTTTGTGAGGTCTGCTAAGATACTTATAAAGTGCTAGGCACGTGTTTCGGCATTTCAGCCTTCTCAGTATCACGGTGCTTTTCGGTTTGATCAGTTCCTTGTAAGGAGATATACCTCCTATATAGAGGAGCTGACGCCGCACTTTCTTAAAGGCTTAATATGTGATGCCAGACTATATTAATCTTGTTCGAGGTCTGAGAACAGTTGATTGAAAGTGTTTTAAACACGGCTGATGCTCACCACTAACTCGTTTGGCCCTTCAATAGCATGGAATATTGTGGCTCCGATCAAAAGGTAAGCAAAAAGTAGGCACACGAGTCCCACATGAGGCAGTATCCGCTTCGCATACTAAAAGTGCTTCGTAATAAGAGATTCTCCTAAGCGCATTGAATACTAAAACCGGTTCATAGAGGGAAGTCATAAATATATCGAATATAGAGTAAATAAAAGTATTTCTTTCAAAGATATTCGTTTTTGAGCCACTTTCGAATTAGACAAAATTCATGTCACTAGCACTATAAAGGTTCTATAATGATATTAACATGTCACTAGCACTATAAACGTTCTATAATGAGATTAGTAGAACAACATAGGAGTAATCTCGATGGCAAATAGTTAAATCGTCCTCACTCTGCTGATGTCGCTCTTATACACTAAGAACCAGCAAGATGAATCAAATGTTAAACGATTTCGAAAAAGCCTGTGAAAAGATTGGTCTTCACCCAAATATGCCCTTTAAACACAGACATTTTTGGTGCTCATACACGCTTAACGATTCGAGCGATTTTGGGATATTTCAAGAGCTTTGAGGACTTTGTAAAGAAATTTAGTGCTTCAGATTCTATACCCATTTTTCCGACTTCACGATTCCTTGTGCCTTAACCAGCAGGTCGGAAACCTGTTCACTTCATGAGCAGTATGAAAGATCTGTGTCATAGACCGCCATACTGCCAGCACTATACTGATAGTATACCATGCCACTCAAATGAAAGAATGTATATGATTTTTCCACGCACTTTGATCAAAAATAGTGAGAGACGCCGTTCTACACTCTAAAATCAGGCCAGCCGGACACTTAATGCGTGTGGCTAGCATGCGACATGCAGGATCCGTCGGCGCCTAGATATCTCAGGATGCCAGACGCGCACCCGACAAACCACGGAAACTATTGTCATTTTCAAGAAGACATTAGGAGAAAGATATGATGCTTAGCAAGTCCTAATTGCGAACAGAATACATTGAAACACTTGTGCACGCGATAAGGACAAATGGGAAAGTCAATAATACTCACTCGAGTTATTCGACAATCAAAAGTATGGTAAACGACAGGTGATACGGGTGACTAATAAAATAGTCATTATCAATGCCATATGCTACAGCGATTCTAGGCTTGCAATAGAAGTCTGATTGCAGACAAGCGAGATATTATGGCTATTAGATTGTGCCCTCAATAGAAATTACCGAGAACTGGAGCAAGACAAGCTTACTCTCGCAAATTTCTGCTTATGAAATCGGGCAGCATTGTTTAAAATGGGCTTTATCAGCGTTCAGTAAATGATTCCAATGGTTTCCTCATTAATTGCTTGGCGTTAGTTTTATCGCACATGAGTGGTTGGTAGCTTTCGTCATGAGTTCATTACTCGCAGTTTATATTACTTTCGTAAGTTTTCAGAGTCGACTAAATTTATATATAGAATGCTTTTGTCCGTCGTCATCTCATGATGCACATTAATAGGACGTAGCGAATTATATGAGCCCACAATAAAGACTTTTTTTGCTTTTTTGCATTTGAAGAAAATATTCTATCTCATTAATCAAAATGTGTTATTGAATTCTCTACAAAATGTAGTGAAACGGAAAAACGCATCTAAGGTCACACTTTTGGAATATTTATTTGGTGTAGAAAACTACGCCTAGATTTCATTTGAGTAAGTGCAAAAGTTAGAACCTTAGCAGTTCTAGTACTCCACCCACAACTTGACAATTAGTTAAGAATTTCTAGGGCACCAATAAACAGATTCATTTCCACTTAGTACTGGCCAGTAACTTCAATGTGTAGACGGTGCATATTCCTACTACAGTACGCGTGAATATCGAACATGCTATAGGCATTTGTTTGAGAAATATGGAGCAAAATCTCTTACTGTGATGTACTTCCTCTCTCTTGTTTCGACATCTATTTCGTCGTCAGATATTGGTGGTCCCGATGCTGTCAAATCCATTTCCATTGGGATTTCGTGGAGAGAGGAGTTCGAGTTCTCGGAACCCTTTCGTGATCATACATTTATTTACTTATTTGTATTCGTATTTATACGTGTATATACTTGAGATTTATCTATAAGATCTGAATCTTGTTAGAAGTACTCAAAACAGTGCAAAAAGAAAAAATTCAATTATCATCATGAGAAATGAGAGTCTTATCGAAAACCGTGATGAGAAAAACCCACCATGTCAAAGTTGTCATTATTTTGGTTGTACATTTTCGAAGCGTGCTATTTAATTTGGTCGCAAATCATGGAGGTTGTCGGATATTGGGAAGAATGAGATAAGACTGAGGATAGTGGTTGCAGTACTATAGCTGCTAGTTGCCACACGACAGCTGTTCGTAGAGCATTCGACAAGGTGTAAAAGAAGCGAAACAAATGCTTTTGAAATGACTTTCACGTCACTATTTGAAACAATGATATTGAATGAATATGGAGAAATTTGCGCGTCCATTTTTAGAAACTGTGTTTAGCTAGCTCTAATTAGCAATCTGGTGTTCTCTTAACTCAATACATCCATAAGAGCTATTTCTACTCGAGATTGTCGACTATGACTGCGCCCTAGCTATTTGTAGATCATTTTTTCTGCTGTAAGAAATAATGAAGCGCGATAGCATAAACGCTCTATTAGCTTCGAAATATTTTAGATCCAAATGGTTTTAACAGTTTACATTATCCGGAATCAAATCAGGCGAAAAACCAAATATTTCGGCTAGAAAGATGTGGTGGTAATAAAGTACAGGTTTGAGAAAAAAAACTAGCGAGACCAGACACTTTTAGCTTTTGTCGATTCCAAAGGAACCATTTTGATGAGTTTGTAGGATAATCGCTTTGTTTATTTCATAGTGTTATTTGTAAACCATAACAATATTAGTCTCCTTGCATGACCAAGAACACCATTCAAAATAAGGTGTTCATCTGCATCATACAGTCTGAAGTGTTTGAAAAATTCACAATATCCAAACTATTTTCACACTTTACGAAACACTACACCACACGACTGTGCGTGTGAAACTCATTTGATGTGACGCTCTGAGCAGTCATGACCCCGTGTCCCAGTCATCTTCATGGTAATTCCCAAGCACCTTCATGTAATCAACACAATTCTTTGCTCTTTTAGTGGTGGGGCAATGTTATAATTATAGGTCCAATAACGCTGGGTGGTATGCAAAAGTTCAAACGTCAGTCGGGAATCAAACCCGCATTTTACCTGTTCTGGAAGCGCTTGCTAACCAATTGCACTACCGACGCTCTTGTATTGGCATCACTCTTTCTGCGACACACTACAAACATCCAATATCTTTCATTGCAGATGAGTTCACTGCTAATATGTAGCCGCCAGGCCAAACTGTTGACGATTGGCTGCTGACAAATCGGTACAACTGTATCGCAATACAGTGGTGGCAAAAGAGGAGCGTAGGTAGTGCAATTGGTTGGCATGTGCTCTCGGAAAGGGTGAGATACTGGTTCGATTTGCGTGTGATAGTCAAAGTTCTGCATATCACTCAACATCAATTGGCTCCTTCTTCGTGTTATCGATCTCACCCGAAGATCTCCTCATCGTTCTGATGGTACTTTGCAATGCTACATAGAAGAACAAGCGGAAGATGGATGAAAAGAGCTGAAAGTTGATTACACAAGCTTGGAAGCGTCCCCTCAGGTGACTAACTGTGCCTTAACTGAAATCAGTCAGCTGTATTAACAGCTGTTCCTATTTTACAGATCATGTTATCAGACTGGGACCCCAGACATGCTTGAACCACAACCCTGGACGACGAGTGCGTGGAAAAGAAACGAATAGAAATGTGCTAGGATCCATACAACTGATAAAAACGGGCTCTTCGTCACGTAGGTCCGCCTACAAAAGGTCTGGCAAACGCAGTGTTTGCGAAATCGGCTAGCAAAAAGCAGACGCATACAACTTGTGATGTGTCACCAAAAAAGTTAAACAGAGTACAAAGTGAGATCAACACCCATGGTAATGAGAGGTCGAACGTCATACAATCATGTCACAACTTCTGCCTATCAAAGCATGCGAATCCCTTAATCCGACGAAAGCTTCTTGGCACATGCTCTCGAGGATATCATTAAAGAGCGGGGCTCACAATGGTGCTCGAGAAGTTTATTACAAAGATGGTGCTGGCCCAAAGCAGCCCAGAGCTCATTCGGCCCTCCATCTCTCCGGGACACAAAAATGATGAGACTTGTCCAAGAAAAAGATACTTTTAAGAACAAATGGGAACTGTTTAGCTCAAATATCTGGCAACTCCACAGAAAATCGATCCCACCAGCACTCATCAACATTCTTGACAGCATTTGGCGAGCCAAAACAGGAAAAGTTCTCAGACCGTCGGGACAAGTGGTCTTGGAGAACTTTTTGATAGAAATTTCACGTTCGTGAATAATCAGCACATTTTCCTTCAAACCATCTATAAGACGTGCTATCGCCACACGTTTTCAACTACATTCTTCAGCAGCACGAACTTTTTACTCGCATAATCCTACCTCTACTTTTATCCACTTGTTCCCCACAAAGTTGCGTTAGCGATTCACTAGCAATTTTTAGCTATGTACTGGCCATCCATGACCATATCCTTTGAGAGAGATCATTGTTTCAGCCATGTCTGCGTCATCTGCGAAGGCAAACGCTGTAAGTGCTATCAAGACATGACTTCTGAAGTCAAAATGACAAAAAATGATATAGTATAGGATTAGATGACAGAAGATGAACTTGCGATTGGATTTATCTTGCTCAACTTAGAAGTAAACTTAAAATGGTGACACTTTCAGAGCACAATGAACTGATTTGTTAGTTTTGCCAAATAACTAGTGGACCCATTAGACATTATAGTTCAAGTTTTGTTATTGAATCTCGAAATTCATTTCAAGCTGCATATGTGAAGCAACTTAAGTAACAAAGAGATTAGTGAAGCGAAATTTGTGACAACTGGGAATACCAGCGCTATTAAAATATTAATACAACAGATTGGCTAACATATCTCACTACACTAACACACCCACCATTTCGACACAGGAGCTGATGAACTGGAGAGTATGCGGGATTCACTGTGTGTAGAGAGCAGATTAATCTGCGATATTATGGGTGACAACCAATGTGAATTATCACATTAACTGATGATTGACATCAAAATATCGTATACTCATTTTCAAAGGAATCTTCAAGCCTTGAATACTCCACATAACGGAAGTAAAACCAGCATATGAGAAAGAAAATGGTTTTGACGGTGCACTACACATTTTAACAACAAATCGCTGACAAAGCTAAAACGCTGATCGAACGACTTTTGTCTACACCATATCTGGACAATCTGCTACCTAGGCGATACAAAGCACTCAGCTGTTTTGGCCCTATATAACAAAGGGTTGTGCCTCTTAATGACAAACAAATGGCACTCTTCACGGAGTTGCTTTGTTGGCCTCCAGTACATTTATCTTCTATTGCCCAACGTTTTTTTCACTGAGATTTTTTTTATGAGGTGCATAGAAGTCTATGCGAACCATTCACTTTTCGTCACACTATCCAGCCTCCGGCCTTTGTAATTGAAGAGTGGTTTGTCAATCTGTGGCTGATCTCTTTATAGGGCAAATTAAGAGCCTTTTTAAATCGAGTTGACTCGCATCTTTTAATAGCTCTAGATCATTGCGCAATGTGTGCTCGTTACCTATGTCTGAGCTTCCAAATCAAAGCAAAGTCGCCTTTACAACCCATATCACCTTCGCTAAAGTGTTTAGTTGAATTGCATTATCTGTTCACTATCGTTGCTTAATCAAAGACGGCAATGGCATTCTCAGCATTCCCAGTGCAGAGGCTTCTTGAAGAATGGCTCAAATTTAGCGATAATCTTTATTGATTCGAGATTACTTTTCTTTGTGGACCGAAAATATTAGATTCAGGAAATTTTTGCTTTACAGAACCAGTGGTAGGACGCCAGAATTTTTACTCAACATTGCGTTGCGACTTTGATTTCTGGCGCAACAGGTGTGGCTTAATCGCGCGACGAGTGGGACCCGCTGCATTGACTGAGTTGTAGTTTCAATGAAATAAAGATTTTTTTATGCCAATAAAGGATGTAACTTGTCAGTAAATGTTAGATATTATAGAGACCTCGATGAAGCTATCGCTAGTCAGAAGTGGAAACTAGTTGCTTACGTAAAGCTCATATTTCGAGCTGTCGTTGAACATTCATAAAATAATCGAACACACTACGTTTTGTGTTCTGGAAACCAGAAATTATGACGTAACTTTTTCAGTTTCGATATTTACCCGATCCACATTTGATGTTTACTTTTTACTTCATGCTTTCTCATGCACACCATTTGATTCAATTATATAATATTGCTTACAGCCTTCCTTTCAGTCCTGACGTTACCATTCAATTACTTTCTGTTGATTAGGTATGTAACACGAGTTTAGTAACAAGGATTTATTTGGCTAACGTTACGACGTGTTCGTTATCTTCTTCAGAGTCGATGATTTGTGTCAATGGCCACAATGGCTTGCCTTTCGTTGTGTATCTTCGTCTTCGTTGTTCTTCTTCGTCTGCTGCAGTTTTACTTCTTTTTTTCTCTTGATGAACAGGTACGAGGTTGCTGAGTTCAAAGTGCATTTAGCACAATTTTGCTTGATAAGCAGACACGAGATTGCTCGCGCTCAAAGCGCATTCACCATAATCGGCTTCGCCGATTACGTCTTTTTAAGAGCCTGGAAAGGCCAAACTGATCGACAATATGCTTAGTGAACACTTCCATGGTGACATCAGAAAAAAGCCGTGATTATCAATTTCTAAGCTATGTATAAATGCCTTCAGTAGGCCTGTTTTGTTCCCTGTAGGTCCAGTAGTCATTAGTGGAGGTGAGCAGTACAGAGTTTTACATGGGTCAGATGTTTGCCTAGTTGAGGTGAAACAAAATTGGCTTGAGGTATGACATATGGCTGCGCATGATCACACAATGCTTGTTCTTGTGGTCTACGATTTTTTGGAATTCAAGAAGTTTCAGGACCTTTTCGCACCGAAGTTTTAGATACCTGTGGGAGGATATTACTGCTTCGTTATGACTTCGAGTCCTATGCTTACTCAGAGAAGAGTTTTCTATCTACAAAACGCTTTATTACTCGAAAACAAAGTGATCTACTTGTCGAACCGAAGTATTCGCTCGTTAGTTTTACGGGAGACTAGGTAAGCCGTAAACAGACATCATTTCATGATAATCTATATTCTTACAGCAAATTTCGCACAGACGCTCAAACAAACGGTTACGGACTAGCTGACACCATAGAAGTGTACAATGGTATTGTAATCACCGTTAAAAATCTCTCGTGAACGGGGCTTTTCTGTGCGGGTTTGTAGGCCAAAGTTAGTACTTTCAGATGAAAGCAACATGAGAGGACCTTATTTGTTTGTTCTAACTTGTTGCTTGTTAGCGTCTTTTTTTCTCTAAATCTAGCACAGCAAAAATTCGTAGTCAATACAAGTGGATTAGGCACAGCAATACGTGACGTCTTTACCGTAGTATTTCCTGACTAATAAATTACCTCTGCGATTCAGTTTACCGTTGCCAATCTCATGAAAGTGTAATTAGAAGTCCATTCTAAACAATGTAACTGTTTACGTTGCCGTGTTTCCAATGCGTGATTCACCGCTAGTTCCCTCCCGGATAAAAATTTCCGGATTTATCACTTTGATTCGCCGCCGTACTCTTTCTAAATGGTTGTTATTGAAATTCGAATCTTTGCTATATTGCTCTGGTTAGTACATACTATTGATAGGAAACGAACGATACTTGGTGAGGGACGTGGTTGAAGTTACAGTTATGGACAGTCGTACTTCCATGGGTTGCTTCACAAGGTTTACGATTGTCCTGCAGACAATATATTTCATGAGGTGAAAAGTCGATATTTGGTCATGGATCTGTATCTTTTATCAGTTCATCAATCTGTACGCAGCGTTCCGCCTGATCATAAAACTGAGAATGATTCCAAGTTCCTACTCACAAACAATTCTGCTGTTATGATTTCCATGAATGAAGCAAACACTGACTTCTGTGGTTTGTTTGAGTGCTCTACTGATTAAATCACTTGAAGACCAACCGCACAACGATCGGAGAAAAGCCGGAAATAGTCACTTTTTATCCATGTAGTGAATGCCATCAATAGGCCTGTTTTGTTCCTTATAGATCCGTCAATCCGTGGATGTGAGCCGTACAGGTTTTAACATAGCCTTTTAGCACTT